GAAGTATTCTTCAATCCATAAAACGAAACACAGATTTTAAATAAGGAAGGAGCCAACCGCAACTAAGTAATACATTAAAAGTCTATACTGTAATTATTAGTCTATCTTAAATCAGGTCTGGAAATATTGAATTAATAGGTAATTTTATACACTGAATTCGAGGTTGACGTAACAAAATATTTGCCACCCGATCCTCATCCTGGACCCCGTGTATGTAGGGGGAGGTTTATCACGTGACAGGGGGGAGGGACAAGAGGGGGCCTCAGTCGCGAAAGTGTGTAAATTGTTGACGGTTCGCTCGAAGAAATTAACTGTAGTGGTCCTACACTCTGCTCCAACGCCTTTTGTCTCGTTTTCAGCTGGAAAGTGGCAATTTTGAACTTTTCTCCAGCTTCTTGTCTTAAGGGTTCCTTGTTAAATTATAAATGTCACGTGGGATGTTAAATGGACTAATTTTAAATATTTGCGAGTGTCAGTTTTGACTGTTCAACTCCTTAAACTTGTAATTAAACTGAATACATAATTGTGTGCACTTTTACGTGCAATTTGTTTTGAGAACACAACTTGTGATCAAATACTGTGACATTTTCTAAATAAAATGCTCAAGATTTTCGTCAACATTAACTAAATTACCATAAATACACATACACATTAACTTCATTATTTTGCGATTAGTAATAATCTTTCTCAGTTTTTTTATTTCATTATTATTTCAAGAAAACTATTAAATCATAAAACACAATTAGAACTCTCTGATTTCTCAGATCGCTCCAACACAATAGGTTAGAACACAATATTTCCAAAGAAAGCAACGACCTTTCACTGAGACAAAACCCTCATCAGTCCAGTAGCGGAATTCAATTAAGATCTAATCCGTCACACGCAGATTAGTTCTTAGACGTCGGCATTTTTATCGCCGAGGGAAGATAATGGAAAACTTAATCCCAATTTAATTAAGAAGTTAACAATAGGCGACCGCCGGAATTACGCTGGGTGTTGAGAAATAAATATCAAAGTGGGAGAAAAAGGGCGCGGGCGAGGAATTTGTCGTAAAAATACCGGCGGAGTCGTGACTAGGAGTTAATTCAGGGTCTTAATTATCTGGGGATGATCTATAGGGTCGGGGGCAATGCTGGACGTACAGCGCGGGTATAGTGTTACTCGTTTATACTTAACTCTTATGGAAGTTATGTTAAAATAATAAAATACCTCCGCCGCAGCAAACCTGCAGACTTAGCGAATTTCCATTTGCCTGATTGGATTTAAACTAAAATGTCTCCTTCAAAATATCACATTTATTCCTTATATAAACAGAATTAGTTTAATGAGTACTTAGGTTTGCTGCAACAGGGAGGGTAAACAAGTTTTTTTATGTAGAATATTAAAAGGTACTGTGGTTTAGTAAGAAATTAATGTATTTTCCAACTTTTATCAAAATATGTTTATAAACAAGCAAACTACAACAGTTGACTTATTCTCCATAAGAATAACATGGGAATTTTAAAATTATTTTTTTTTTAATTTTCTCCGTAACAATTAGGTGCATAATAATGCTTCAATATACTAAATTATTTGTTTTTTTAAGCTCTACAAAATGGTTTAAAAAGAAATTGTGAAATTTTGTGTTTTTAGGGTCAAAAATGGGAAAAACCTATTTTTACCCCATAAAACCCCCCATAAACCTCTGTTCCCATAGTCCGATCATGCTGGTTCGCGAACTCATTCAAGTTTATCCCGCCTTACACCTTCAAACCAAATTTTATCAAAATCGGACAAAAATTACTCAAGTTATCGTGCGGATGGACATATATATATATATATCTCTATATATAGATATATAAAAATTTGAACGAATGGTGTTTTTGGCCTCTGGGGACATCAAAATGAAAAAGTAAATCGGTCCCGGGCTTAGGTCTTACCATGAGACCTACGGTAATAGCTACTTCCCTATAGGGAAATTCGCTAATAAAACAACGTTAAATTCTTTTCTTCAAGATGTATTGAAAACGTCGAATATAAAAAAGGCCAATCTAAAAAAAAACATCAAAGTTACAAAAAACACATTAAACATAACATTAAAGTCTATGTTGTACATATTATGATTGTGCATCATTGAACAAGTTTCTTAAATTAATTTTAAAAACATCAAAACAGTTTTCATAATAATTTACACCAAAGTTACATATTGTAAAACGCGACGAATTTAATGAAACAAAATTTAACTTATTTACATTTATAATGTAAAATAACAAATAATAGAAATTAAAAATAAACTATTATAAAAACATTTACCCAGTGCACGTTTAGTGCTAGACATACACGTGGGTTGAAACACGTTTCTAAAATCATCAAACACATCTAATTGGCTTACTGATGAGTTGTGTTCTGCCAAAGACTTTGTTTGACATTTTATAAAACATGAAAGGAAATATGTTCCTTGCAAATGGTTTCTGTTTGCCTTTGCCAAGTTAAACGAATTACAAGAGAAAAAAGGTGTTGTTTGTTCACAAGTGACTACTTTTGTGCCACGTTATACGTATGTTGTTCTTATAGCTGTTTATATTTTTGTTGTAGTAACTGTTGTGTGATTCAACTAGGCTTGCACTAGATTGCATTTTAATTTTTGATGATCACACGTTTTGTAAATAAATTAATAAATGATTTAAAGTAAAAAAAACTAATAACTTAAATAAATAAATAATTTTTTTAACACTTCATGAGTTTGTTGTACAAATTGTTTAGCGAATGATTTGTGTTGTTTGATATTCATTCAAATGTCAGTTTTTGGATGGTCGATGAAGAATTACAAAATAGACTACATCAATGATATAGGTGGAAAAAATCTTACAAAAACCTTTTACAATATCGAGTGTTATTATTTACAACCAAACGATGAGCACTGCTTTGCATCATTTCCAAATTTCAATTAGCAAGGTATTTAAATCCTTTGAAAAAATATTTAATTAAAATGTTTCAAAAGATATTTTTGTATTAATTAACCAAAACATCAAAGGAATCGTTGAATCTTATCAATCCCTTTATCTCAACAGCAAATTAGGCTGTAGAAAATCCCGCTCATTAAAACCGCTTTGGAAATCGGCGATGCGCGACTCAAGTCGGAAAAATCAGTCCTCGAGGATTATTTTACTCCGATAACTCGAAGAAAGCCAGTTGTCTTCCAATTATATCGAGAATTCCCGTGGAAGGAAACGTAACCCGGGCCGTTATGAGATGAATAGGCGCGGGACAATAAGACCTAGACCTCAGTCTGGGGTAGGTTTTGTTGCTGAACAAGATTAAATTTCAAACCTCAACTACGATCAATGGACTAAACGATTCAAAATATAAACAAACGCCTCCGGAAGAGGCGAGCCGGGGAAACAATCGAGGAGTAGAGGTATAATTTGGAAGTGGATCTGGGGTAAATAACAATCCGACGAGAAAGATCTCTACCCAAAGCGAGTTCTGGGCGGTTTGTTTGAAAGGCATTATTGTAGTAAATTCAATCCGGGAATTTTTGAGGCTTTTAAATTGCGAATAGTATGGGCGGGGTCTGTTCGAAATTAAACCACCGCTATGAACTACTGTACTGGTGTATTCAGACGACAACAGTAAACTGACCCAAATCTACACAAAGTGGGATATCATTCGTATTAACACAATAGTATATGTAGGTGGAGTTAGGTTGTATAATTTTAGTAGGATCAGGTTATTTTAATTCAGAATCATATTTATTAAAAAAAAGGACAGTTTTCCGGTTTTCAACTTTCAAGAGGCACTGACTTTTCTGAGAATCAAACCGACATAAGAAACGTCACACATTCATTAGCTTTTGTACATCACATAGCCTAACTAATCTCCAATAAAAATAGGGTTGATTCGTGATTTTGGATAAAAGAAATAAAAATAATCAAATAATGGATATTTCAAGTGTAAATTTTATAGAACTGAAGTAATATGTAAAAATATCTATTTAATAATAATGAAATATTTCTGTGCTAAATGATGTGATTACGAAATGAATATGTATCCTTGTACGGGGTTTTTTTAGTATGGTGCGTAACACTTTCACATTTAAATAAGTTATTTATATGTAGAAACATAAACACACTTTGTCCCTCAAAATATTCTTCACAATTATTCAATCTGAATTTTACTTCTAACATACCCTACTCAAACACTTAACCAAAGAAACTGCAATAACCGCTGATGAGATAACTTCACACTCATTACCGATCGAACAAACGAGACACAAATTGTCACATTAACCACACCTAACCAATCGTAATCTAGACAGCTAAACCAATCAATCATAACTAGGCGATTGACTCGCAATCATAGCCTATACGTTAACAAGCGGGCCGTTAGGTTCAAACAAAGATGGCGAGTAAATATAGTGGCCAAGTAGACTGTGAATCGCCCAATCATGCTCATTAACAAGTCAAACAATGGACAGGAACTTCTCTTCGGTAACTAGGGGACTAGTGGCTAACAAGTCATTTCGATACATTTCGCCAGGTCGAGTGGAAAATTACGTTGCTTTCTGGGCCGAAATTAATTTGAATAACTGTTCGGAAAAGGTCGTGTGAAACTCAGTTTGTTTTTGGAGGGGAAATTCGGGGAAAGTAGTGGTATTGGGTATTGGGTTATAGAGTAGTGTTGACAGTTGTGTTAGACAATTTGTGGGGTCAGATGAGATTTTAATTTCTTTATCGTGCCACATTAAATTAATTTATTAAGCCCTGAATTAGTTTGTAATGTCGATAGCTAAAATAAATAGTAACCCGAGTAGGCCGGGTGATGTGTTGCTTGGAAATCAAACCTCTATACATTTTACAGTTGATTTGACATGTTTATGTTGTTTGCTGAAGTTGTCACCAAGTTTCAGAATTATTAATGGCATTAAAATTATAGTTAACACGTATGCTTGTGCGTTTATAGCTCTATTCAAGAAATACTATTTATATATCATAAGATACTGATTTTATTTTTTGTTCTAGGCTTCTCTCAGCTGCAGAAAAACTCAAGTTTCGGTTCCTCAGGCCCATGTATGCCAAGTAAGTCCGAAATCGTTATTGGTTTGTTTGGTAAATGGTTGTATTGACATATAGATATTTTAAATATTGATAGTATAAATAATAAAATATTAAAAAAAATTAGGTAAATAAAGTCTGATAAAACGTCAAAATATAAATTGTTATGCCATTTCCTAAACTATGATTTATTTAATATTTACAACATAACGAAACGGAACATTAACATTTTACTTTATGCCCTGAAATACTGTACTAAGAAGGGCAATTTTTCTTAACTGTATACGTCTAGTAACCCATTTACACTGTTTGCTTAGTTTAGGCCTACTGATCGGTAAAATATGATAGGTACTTAATGTTGTTTTACTTCAAGTAATTTTAGATAATTTAATGGACCTAAATATTCAAAAATAAGTATGCTTAATTAAAAAGTACACACGTATTAGTTTTAAAACACAATTTTAACTACTATTATTTTAACACTATTTTTAATATTTATATTAAACATGTTATATTATATTTGTAACACAGAAACCGAACATGTATTAGCAACTGAAATTTTATTTTAACAATAAGAAGTTACTTAGAAATATTAATACAGTTCATTTACGATACCAACAAGTCTATCAATAATTAAATTGTATGATGAACAAATGTTTTTAATTAGAATGACTTAACAAATCAAATGTAACTTCTGATATGACTGACTAGTATACTGAGATTTGTGCCTAGATATTGTTCCCGGAGCAACCCTAATTTACACAAAACATGAAAATATTTACTTTAAGTCCACTGAACATTGCCATTGTTTATCAAATTTACATGTAGTATAAAAAAAAACTATTAAATGAAGCGACTTATTTACACTTAAACTCAAAAACATTGACATTAAACTACAAACTACTCTCAGGTTGCGCCTAGACATGACATTAGCCTGATTAGCCGGGGTGACACAAGGTGTCGCTATAGGACCGATTATGTTCGCCTCATTGTCGTCATCTCGCTCTTGTAATTAGCCAAATCCAACATGGCGGCCGACATAAGTGACTCTTCACACGACAATACTACCCTTCTTTGCCATCGATTTTCACCGGGGTCAGTTATGTGTTTACAGAGTTAGACAAGTCTTAGTGCAAAATAAGTGCTGAAAAATTGGAAAATGCACGTCAGGAAAATTTAGAACATTACATAGTTTGTGCTTAGGGCCATCATAGCTGAGGAACTATTATTAAGACTATTTTTAAGAGAATAAAGGTTTTCATCGATATGAGTGGTTTCTGGGTTTCTCAGTATTATTTGGTTTTTGGTATCAAAGGTACGCAATTTGGTACGTGTATTAAATAGTAATGTTATATTGTCAAAAGTAAAAATTTGTATTCAGTCGATGTTTGTGTATTTAGTTAAAGATTCATGACATTAAACATGCATTCATGACCAATTCATGGCATTGCAAACACTTATGAAGCAATTAGTAAGCCAATGTCAGTCATAGAAGGCAAATAATTTATAGCAAAATTGTTTTTTGCTGTTGGGAAATATTTTAATTGCACCTAAAGTTGTATTGAAAGGGGGAAAGGGTATTTTGTTTACTAAAAACACTATAGGCCTAGGCTTGTAAGTAATAATTAAAAGATGTATTGTTTCGATTCCTTATTTGATTGTTGTAGGCCTAGTTTTATTTTGATCTGCTGATTAGTGTATTAGGGATCTTACGTCTCCCTAACATATTGAGTAAAAATTCCAAAACATGTTTTTAAACAATTTTATAAACACAAATATTGTATCGGACAGTTATATATATTTTTTAACTCACCCATCCTATTATGTATAACAATTAGCCTACCATACGAGACGATTGTTTTGTTTATTTAGTTACCCAGGAAATACTAGAAATATTTTAAAATTACATAGAATAAATTAAGTGATCAAATTAATTTTTTAAACCGTTTATCGGTTTATTTTATGTATCAAAATAAGTTGATGAATAAAAAAAAACTAACTTTTGAATTTCAATCGTAAGACAACCATCAAAAGGTTGGATATAAATAGGATGTATTTGCTGTGGATGAAATTAAAAGTTATATTTTTAAATTGTATCCAGCAAAACATAATGCAAATTGCATTGTTAACTAGAACTCATAAAAAGGAAGCGTAGGCCTATTACCTAACTATCTTCGATGACAATTTCTATAATAAATAAATATCCTTTTCCTTTTAATATTGCCTTTTCTCCGGGGTTACTGTTTAAGGTTAACATGTGTTGAACCCCTCATTAATGCCAAGTCACACTGTTTTAAGGAGGTCATTGTCACGGGCGAGAGGGTGTTGATTAATTAGCCTTTTCTGATGCTTAACACAATGTTTCAAAAATTACAGTTCCCTTAATTAACCCTTATTAGGGGTTTTGCTAGCAATTAAATGAGACGTTAATTGAGCTAATAAAATTACAAGTTCTATTAATTTGATCATCAAGTAACTAAGATAATTAAAAGATACTAAGTAGTCCAGAGAAAGATATTTAACCTATAATAACCTATAAATAATTTAAAAATATTTTATCTACTGTTTACCTTCTCAAAAGTGCATAGCCAGGAAAATATTTTGCAGTTTGTCCGATTTTCTTTGGGATAAATAAGGTAAGTTTGAATTAGTAACCCAAAATGAAAGAGGCGGAGTTGAGGATGTGCATAAAATTAGTAATACTAGTCTGGAGGTTATAGATATTTAACAATAAAAACCCTTCCATTCACAATCAATTAAGTGAAAGGTGGCATGATGCTAAAAGTTGGTCAAAAATAGTCACAGTACCCCAACCCAATAGTATACAATAAAATAAATGCCACCATGAACACAAATAAATCGTTGCTTAGCTATAAGAACGAATACTACAAAAAACGGAGTAAAAACCCCAACAAGGTAAAAGAAAAGATTGAACCATATCGTTAATCACCAAAACTAACGTTCCTAAAACAAATCTAATAAGAAACAAAACAATACCAGTTCCGGAATAACGAACTTCCAAAGCAACAAAAACAAAACCGAAACACACAAAACTTGGACAACACAACCACAGTAACACAAAATTCGAAAATAAAAAGGTAATCTTACAAACGTTACACATCACAAACAAAACTCATCACAAACACTAATCACAAAGGTAGAGAAATCAGAAAAGTGGTTCACGTTAGCACATCTCGTATTGGAAGACCCTGTGACACACATTCCAGAGTACGTAGTCGTGTTGCTGGTGAGGTGACTTGGGCTTGAATGGAGCCCGAGACCCTTGCCTTTGTGGGCTGTGGTGTGAAGTTGTCAGGTAAGACAAAAGCAGCCCCAGTGGGGTACTTGGGCCTTTCAATTCATATCTTGGTTCTACCTCTCGTCCACCCATATTTCATAACCGTCCGTTCGAATTGTGGTCTAGAGATCCAAGTACCACTCCGTTAGTTTTGATTGAATTCAATTTGTAACAAATTCGGAACAGTACAAATAATAACATCTTGATCAGCATTGTACGTGTCATCAAATTTACGGAAAGTAAATAAAAGAAACGTCTTATAACACTTAAAACTGAAAAGTGTTAAGTCCGTTTTAACGTGCTATAAGTCGTTTTTTTTTATTTACCTTCCGCAGTACAAAAAAGAAAAGGCTAGGTTATTATAAATAAAGCAGGTTAATGGGAAAATTTCGTTACTTAATAAATTTGGTGTGTAGGAATTTTGAAATTTGAGTGTTTAAACGCCAAAGGTTCTGTCTCTAAATCATCGGAACTCTCGTGAACCTTGGTGCTTTATTCAAGTCGCAAAACCAAACTTAATATTTTTTAGCGTTATTTATTTTAATGTGACCAAGATTTTGTAACCAAACTCCCACATGGTTTAACCTATACTTCTTGTCCAGATTTGTCATAAACATACTCCCTTATATTAACTGTCTTTACAGATCTGCGGCAATTAATCTTGATGTTGATTTTGTATTAATTTAAATTTATTTATTGTTCTCAGTAATATTTAAAGCTTAATATTTAACAATCATAACGAAATAGAGTTGTCCAATCACTGGCATTGGGGCATTAGAACCTATGAATAAAGCAAAGATCTGTTGTGCAGTCTGGAAATAAACATTTAGTTGACATAGCTCAATCGAACGTCAAATATTGAACACACACTCTTTAGATGTCACAGTAGTTATGAAACGTCTAATAGCACTGTTCAAATCTACGGTTTTCTGGAAACTCAAACGAGGCTTAGATCTGGGAAGCCCTATATTTTCTTTTTGCTTACATTATAATTGGTATCTATTTTTGTGTAATTATAAGTAAAAACTCCCCTATTTTATTTAGTTCAGTCAGCCTAGATAGCTTACATACACACGATATTTACATAATGCACACAGACGATTTCCTTTGTATAATCGTGTTTTTGTAAACTAAAAAATATACCTTTCTTACCTCTAATTGAAGTAACAAAATATATACTTATTCTTTTTTTACATGCAAACCTTATATAGGATTTCATTTTAATTGTTTAAAATGTGGGATGCGATTTCATTAGCTAACATATTTTATAACGGTCTTAATACTACAACTAGATGTTGCATTGAAGTTTTGTTTTTATATTGTGCATTTTTATTTTTTTCGTCGTTCAAACCTGAGATTAAGTTGACTTTTTGCCGTAGACTTGTGCAGAGGTTCCCAAACTATTTGACATTACAGATAATGTAATGATAATATAATACAGTGTACATACAACTTTTAATACAATATAAGTTTCCAATTAAATACAAATATATGGCTAATGAAGAGGAGTTTTTGAACAGGCATTCAAAGTTCGTATAATCTCCATTGAGGAATAGAGGAAAGAGCGTGCTCGCGTACCCAATAAATTATATTTTTGCTTTGCTCTCTTACTGGTTAAATTATCACCATACTAGCTAACAGCTATATTTCCGAAAACTAAAGACTCTTTATATTCGAAACAACAATTTGCATATAGATCAAAAAGTACAACTGTTGATCAATAAAT